TTTTGTGTAAATTTGGCAACTATTTTTTTTTTGGAATTTGATTTCGAAATGAAATGACGATTGTTAATGTTCTGAGATCATAAATTGATTTATTTATAATTAACTTTCCATAGGGTAAGTAATCGCAAAAAAATCGAAAATGAAAATTTTTATAATGTCTTCACGTTTCAGAGTTTCTGAATATGTTGGCATACCTTGGAGAAAATTGATGTATGTGTGTGTGTATGTGTGTGTGCGTGCATGTGTGTGTGTTCGGATACAAATTTCGTCGACGATTTCGGGAACACGGATAAAGCAATGAATAATTCAAAAAACATTCTAGCCGTTCCGAAGATATGGGCAAAAGGGTCAAAAACGGTAACTTAGTTTTTAAGAGAACGGAGCGTTCGATTTGTATAGTTCAAAAACATTTTACTTGTATTAACAAGATGAAGATTTGATCAAATTTTCATGAAGATAGGACTAGCGGTTTCGGAGATCTAGTAAAAAAACTAAAAAAATAACATTTGGCGGTCAACAATAATCATTAGACATTAGACATATGCATATCAAATTATCAGATATTTTATTGAGATTTTTACAATAGTATAAGTTTTGTTTACATTCCTATGGGTTCCGTACCATGTTTTTCTGTTAGACAGCGACGCGGCGCTTACGCGCTTTATATTTTGTCTCTATGCATTAAAGCAGTACGATGCTTTGAAAAAAAAGTTCAGATCTTCCAAAATATATCAAAGGAAGATAACATTTTTCCAAAAAAAATTTTTAATAAAAAATTGTTTAAAATTTTATTTTTTTTTAAAAATTTTATTTTCAAAAAAAGTAATTTTTTGTCCCATTTAAAATTTCTAAAAAATCTTATTTTTTCGAAGTAAAATTTTTTCAAAATGTTAATCGTTTTTAAAAAATAATAATTTTTGGTACGGGAAGTTGCAAGCAATTTGCCTCAAGGCACGATGCCTTAATTGCCTTAAGACAGAATTCCACTTACAGCTAGTTTTATTTTGAATTTGCCTGGCAACTGTTTTGTTCCTGTCTCCGTCCGAGGCGCCCGCAGACTGCTCTTCTTGTCGCATCTATCGCGCATGCGTGGCCTCTTTGGAAACCAATGAAATATTTCTACAAGTCACCACAGTGAAAGTGGCGCTGTACAAAGCAATCGTACACGCATCAAAATGGAGAAATGTATAATAAAACGGTTTAAATTTGCAAATAATAGGTGAAAATGAATGTATCTAGTCGAAGAACTGTTGTGTGTATGTAATTTTGATCTGATATCGATGGTTGTTATATAGTTATATTTACTTAATCCAGTGAATAAAGTTTGTGACGGCTAGCCGACGTGAGTGTTTGGAGTTGACTTGTAACGCCGTGTTAAGGTTGATTGCGACGCCAATGGTAAGCTCGAAATTTATTCTTTATTCATGTCGTATCGCTTGTCAAATGTGAACGTGCAGTTATTATAAGTCTTTCGAACGGATTTTGCTTGGCAGTTTTTCGTAAATTTTTGGAATTGATTTCGTAAAAATGGAATCTATCGGCTGCGGATGTCAGTCGTACTATAAACTCGTATAATGCCATTGCGCTATTGGTTGTTTGGTAATTACAATTCCAATGCTCCCATATAAGATATCACCTGATTGGTTGTTTCGACGACAAGCTTTTAGATGTATTATTCTCACCGATTAGAATATTGGCCGACTATTTTCGATAATTTTTAATTTCCATGTAAATAATTCGAATCCAGCATAAATCTCTTGAAAACCGTAAAAATATGTATATATTAATCAAATATGTCGGCTGGAACTGTCAGATCCGTAATCGAATTGATTGTTATGAATGCAAATGTCCAATTATCATTGTCGTGTATATTGAACGCTTACAATACACACGGTGTAAGTGAACAAGAATGGCCGACTGATTGCGGCCGTTTTGTGGTTTTATTGTTGCCCGATTGTCTCGTAATGCTGGGGCAATCGGGGTCGTAGACATCGTGATGCGTTATTTTTTCTAATAAATGCACGATGAGCAAAATTTCGAATGTCATAATGCCAATGCAAATAGTTGCTGAATATTGCATATTTTTTATTTGTCACTTATAGTTAAATAGCACTGCGCTAAATGTCGCACCCCAATTTTTATTGCAGTTATCTTATCAATCTTATCTTGTAATTACAGTGTTTGGGTTTTTCTGACAGGGAAAGACTATGTCGCTCTATGTATTTATTAACATCATAAGCGTATAGCTTTTCCCTTCAGCGAAATTCTAAAAATACAACGTAAAATAATAGACAATATTTTATGTCCCTTGTAGCATTTATTATTTGAACAGATTTATGAAATATAGAACTACTTTGTGAAAAAAATGACGTGTTCAAGTAGCTAATTAAGTTAAAGTAATTATGCAAACACAAAATACAGTTCAAAATCGTTCTAAATTAATTGGCAAATTATTCCAGCTGTTTTTATTATTGTGCATCGATTTGCGTATTGTTTAAATGACTAGTAAAATATATTTTTATATATATTTACAATAAATTTTAACTTAACTACTTAAACTAACCCATCAGTACTAACCCACAAGTGAACACACTCTTCTTATTTTTCTTCCAAAAACTTCATTTGTTCTAAAATAAACACTTCGCCTAAAAACCTGAATTTTATCATTGTTTATTTTGTGAGATTCTTATATTGATTATAACAATATTGAATCATAGTCTGCTCTAAACATTTTGTGAAATAAAAAAAATATAGTTGTACAATAACCAATAATAGTCCATTTTATAAACATCAGTTTTTATTAAAGTAAAAGTTAGAGGCTCCATTTCGAATTTTTCAATTGATAACTCTTATTAGTTCTACCATAACAAAATTTAGTCAATTCATAATGAAAGATCCTAATAACCTCTAAAAGTTTAAAGGCTTTATGAGCTTTTTGAAAATTTACAAAGATACTTTCTTCCTGAGTATTTATTTTTGCTACCAATTTATTGAATTATCAATTAAATTCTTCAATTGAGCTTCAACTCTTTTAGTTCTACAACAATAAAGTTTGTGAAATTATAAATTGATAGTTTTAAATTACAATTAAAAGTTTAAGGGCTTTCCATTAATAACTTCTTGAAGATTATAAAATGACATTTTTTATGTATTTTTCTTTCCTACCAATTTGTTGAAAGTGGTAATGCTTTATTATGATATATTATTTTGTAATGATCAAATATTTTAAATATTGTATCACTTATATAATATATAGTAAAATATATCATATTGAGTTAAATGATCATAGCTATTTATCTATATTCATAGATAGCTTTATGATTAATTAATGAGTATTAGTTTCCCCAATTAGTTATATTTATGTATTTTTTCAGATTACATTTAGCACTTAGAATGGAGCGACTTGATCGCAGCAGCAGCACGCTACTGTGCTGCTAGCCTGCGATGGAGTCTTACGACTTATTTGATGAAGATGCATCTCGTATGCTCGAAAATTTGCCAGATCTATCAGATTCAAATTACGGACAACAGACAAAACCTGTTGCCACAGATCAAACATCCACCAATCAGGCTACTGTAGCTCAGAGGAATGCGTCTGGTGTCAGCGGGTAACAATTGGAATAATTTATTGGGTTTAACATTTCAGAACAAGTAGTTAGATTTTTTCCTCTGTAGGTATTCACAGTCTGTGTTTACTCACAGTTTACAACCAGCAGATATTTCAAATCCTATGCACAAAATAGTTTCATATGGTGAAGTAGCCAATATGGATGCTAATGCACAAAACGTTTTCCATGGAACGCATCAGCCTTATGAGAACACACCGCGAGCCATGGGGCCGCCTCCTGGAGCTTACAGGCAGGTTGGACCCCACAGGGCTGCAAACACTACACAGCAGTATCCTTATCATCCCGACTCCATGTATTCGATGCCTGATCAACAACAGCAACAACAACATGGTATGTATAAATTAATAGCTAAACAAAATTTGTTGAAGACAATTCTAAATTTGCAATATTTCTTCAGCTTTAGGCATGAATGATATGCAAGGTTGGGGTAGCAATCACTATCCTAATGCCCCTACAATGCGAAGTTACCCCCAGCATGCAACACACACTCAACAGCACGGTGCCCATTCGCAAGCTGTCCCTTCTTCTGCGGGAGGTTATAGACACATGGCTTATCCACATGCACCAATGCAGGACCAATCAGTTCAACAGAAAATGCAATACAATAATCAGGTTAGTATTATGAAATATATTATTACAAAGGATCAAGTCTTACAATAAATGATCATATACAGTTTTTGTGACACATATTTCATTATGATACGTATAAATTGATTTATCTTATATTACAAGAACTCAACTTAGATATTCTTTACTGATCAAATGTATTTTCAGAATATGTTAGGTGGTATGATGCAACAACAAAATTCAAACTACGGTATTGGGCAACAGAGAGTTAGCTCGCATTATCCACAATCTCAAAGCGCACAGACACAACACATGTATCAAAATCAAGCCAACCAGGTTAAAAATATTTTAAATTATCAGTAATTAAATATTCTTTTCAAGTTACAATTTTATTAAACTCTAGAAAATATTGTTATTAGAAAAAAGTTCAATTGTCTCTTATTCCATACAGGGTTATGCTGGATATGGCGGAATGCATGCAGGAACCAGAATGTCTCATATGTCTTACCCAACTCAACATGGGCACGGTATGGATCCTAACCAATCCTATACTCATCTGCAAGGTCATAACACAGCTGGTATATGTCAAAACAATCTTGCTTAGTATATTTTATTCCCAAAGGTCTATATATTATATATTTATTTCAGTTGCAGCTGGTCATCAAACGAGTCACTCAGGACTTGCAGCTCAATCTCATGCATCCCAACCACATTCAATTGGACACAATGTGAATCCAAGCCATCCTTCATCGCAAAACCAAAATTTAAGCCAAACACATCAGACGCCGACACATGTTCCTCAGAATGCTCAGCATCAAGTTCAAATCTATGACAGCAGCACAACATAATGCTCAAACAATGCAGCAGCTTGGTCCTCCACATTTAAATCAAGGAGCAATGACACATCAATCACAAACTAATCAAAATCCTTTAGGACATCAGCCAATGCAATCAACACATCAACCACAACTACTTCCTAATCAACAACACGCTTCTGCTATGCAGCAAAACTTATCAGGAAATACTTCTATGCAAACGCAAAATCAAAATCTACAGAATATTTCACACAGCATGCCACATCAAATGAGTGGTTACCCTCAATACTCAAAGCATGCAAATCCTGGTGCAGTGGGAGCAGGAAGTCCTCAATATAGAACACCATTCCCACAACTTTCACCTCAAATGTCACCAAGACCGCAAATGTCACCAAGACCCCAAATGTCTCCAAGACCTGTTATGTCACCGGCAAAACCTAGTACACTGTCACCTCATCCACATGTTGCAACATTGAGCCCGAGGCCAGCTTCAAGTTTAACACCAAAAGCAGCAACATCTTCGCCAGTTCCACCAACGTCATATGCGCCGCAGAGCACACTGCAAGCATTAGAACAAATGGTGATGCCTCCTAGTAATGATTATCCTTATCGACCCTCTTTAGGTCCCCCTCAAAATATGGCAAACCCATTATCACCATCTTTGGGACCAAGGATGCCTATGTCACCACAACATCACTGGCAAGCAAGAGCATCGCATCATTTAAATGGTAGCATGGGCCATATGGACCATAATATACAACAAAATATTCCTATTTCACAGACATTGAATCCAACACAGTTGAATCATACACCTGCTTTGAATCCATTTTCTACAGAGGACATTATGGACAAGCCTGCAGCTGTTCCAACTGATACAAGTCAAATGAGTACTCCTAGTGAACATAATCAAAGTGACATTCAAAATTCTTCAATATCTCAGAATCAGAATATGTCCTCTCCAAGCAATTCAAGTGTATCAAATTTACCTACAATAGCTACATCGACATCAGATTTGGATTCTTCCATTCAAAATCCCAGAGTTCATGATGACAATGTTCAGAATTCAACCTCAGATGCGAAAGCACAGGAAACGAATAGCAATGACTCATCTACTTCTATGAAGCCTTCTTCCAATCAGCAAAATACTGGCAGCTCTTACACCGATTTCTCTCAGACCAACATGGGCTATCAACCCAATAAAGTTGATGATATACCAAGCTTTTCAAGTGATAATTCAGGACCTGAGAACTCATTGCAAAATCAAACACAAGGTGCTTTGAACCAACAGATGCAATCACAACTTTCAATTATGCAACAAACTGGGATCAATTCACCACAACAAAATTCAAACCAGGGCAGTAATAGTTTGCCATCGATGCAAAGCGCACCTCAGGTTGTGCCATCTTCCACCTCCACATCTTTGCCAAATAATCAGCAATCAGCACAAACTGCTAATATGCTTCCTACAAGTATTCAAAATAATCATGCACCGAGTTCGCATTCTTTACCATCATCAATGCTCGAATCACAAAACTCTCAATCTTCACTGACTGCATCTAGCATGCCTCAATCACCACATGCTCCCAGCGTACCAGGAAGTCAAATGACTACACCATCCATGAATCAATTAGTAACATCTTCAAACACAACTGGCAGTCAAATGAATCCTGTTACTAGCATGACACCGAATAATCAACAACTGCCTGGACATCAACAACCTCTACAAGGTATGAATGTTCCTCAAAATACAAATATACCCTCATCATTACCTCAGAGTCATGTGAATAAGCCAATGCCTCCACATATGCTCCCCAACATGGCCCAAAATCCATTGCAGCCTTCGATGGCTCCAAGTATGCAGAGTCAAATGGCGCCGCAAATGAATCCTAATATACAATCTGCAATTCCAGGAATGCATTCGTTACCTCCGCATTCACAACCTCATGTGTATGATCCGAATATAATGGGTGGTAATACTGGAATGCCGATGGTACGGCCTCCTGTGATGCCTATGGGCCATGGTATGGGTATGATGGGACATGCCGGTATGATTGGACATGCAGGAATGATGAATGAAATGAACACAGGTTATCAGCCGCCAATCAGCCATCATCAAGAACGAGCCGCGTTGCAACAACAGATACAAGAGTTGTATTGCATGCCACCAGCTCCGGAGCATCAAGAAAAGATTATGCATTTACAAGAAAGACTCAATATTTTGCAACAGCATGAAACAAACGAACAATGCAACGGTGGTCCACAGTGTATTTTGCAATCACCACTGTTTGCATCACCTATGATTGATAGTCCACAAGTCTCTAGCACAACAGGTCGAGGAAGGGCTAAGGGAGCAGCTAAACCACGTAAACCAAGACAGAAGAAATCTGAAAAGAATTTGCCAATACCGCAGCTACCATTATCCGAAGATTGTGTTACACCTGGTGCGGGTATTATTATGACGCCTACGGACATCACAGATCTAGCTGATGTTTCTCAAAATGATTTTAGCTTAGAACAATCATCAGATTTAGATACATCAACAGAGTTGAAATTGAAGAAAGCCCGAACGCCAAAGAAACCGCGGGAACCGAAAAAACCCAAGGAGCCTAAGCCACCAAAGGAACCGAAACCACCAAAGCCTCCTAAGGAACCAAAACCACCGAAGGAGCCAAAACCGCCCAAAGAACGTAAAAAGAAAGAACCGAAAACACCTGGAAGCACTCCAAAACGTAAAAGCAAAAAGAAGAAAGGAGAATCTAGTGATGAAGCAGTGGATATCGATTCTTCAGCACTGTCAATTGAGGGTGGTAATGAAAGTTCTTTAAATATGATGGATATGTCTCAAGAAAATATAATTGCAAGTGATGCTGCTCCTAAATCAGAGGCCACCATAGATGCCGATGAGGTAACTGATTTCGATGACATACCAGTATCAAAAATTGCTGTTAAACCACGAATTGATGAAGCTGATGCTGATACTGATGCAGTTACTGCAGATACTGCAGATAAGTCAGATGAATACATCTTTGATGCTAAAGATTCAAAAGATGAAGTGAAGAGATTACTACGCCTAAGAAATCTAAAAAATCATCTTCAAGTAGGAGTAATAGAAATCGTAGTAGTGTGGGTGGCTCTAAGGCAAGAAGTTCGCGTTCAGGCACAGGTGGAAGAAAACGCCGACGCGGTGGTATCGTACCTGAATCTGATGGCGAGCCGGATGATTTAATAACAACTCCACCACCTTCACCTCCTTTAAATGACGAGGCTGATAGTTCCAAGCGCAGATCAGCTAGAAACACTCATCGTAAGAAATACGTCGATGATGTGATGCTACGATTCTCTGATGAAGACAGTCCTCTAGTGGCGTTGGCTTCACCAGTAAAACAAGAAAAAGATGTTAAACCAAAAGAGACTGTTGCAAAAGAGAAGAAAGAAGCTGCTGCTAAAGCCAAGGCGGAAGAAAAAGAAGAAATTGTTAATAAACCAAATTATGTTTATATCAATACCACTGATGAAGATTCTATGGTTGTTCAATATATACTTGCATCTCGCATAGGACGAAGAGAACTGAAACCAACACCACCACCACCTGCTATAGAAACAAAAGAGGTGAAAAAAGAGGAAACTGAAGATGTGAAGCCTGAAGAAAATTCAGAAGGCAAAAACATGGATAGTGAAGTCAAAGATGAAATTGACGAAGATAAACCAGTAATTGCAGATGAAAATCATGAAGAAAATTCGGACGTAAATGATAGAAACTCAAATGATGCTGTCGATGATAAATCATTGAGGCTTGATGATGATAAATCTGATGAAATAAGTGAAAGTAAAGAGGAAGGTAAGGAAGTTGAAACTGATAAAATGAACAAATTGAAGTGCAGTCAGAATCAAATCAGGAAGAAATAAACAATGAAAAGAAATCAGACAATGATGAACTTACAGTTCCAGAAGATAATAAAACTGAAGTCAAAGATGTGGAAACTACTGATGATAATACTTGTGATATAAACAAAAACGATGAAAATGAATCTCTTAAAGTGGAACCACTAGATACCCTTAAAACAGAAGCTGTAGATTCTGAGGCAGCACCCGAAAACGCAGATCAAAAATCTGTTAGTGAAGTTAAGACTGAGCCTGTATATATAGATATTGAAGAATACTTTGTTAAATACCGTAATTTCTCATATTTGCATTGCGAATGGAAGACTGAAGATGAGCTTTACAAAGGCGATAAACGTATTGCCTCTAAATTAAAACGCTTCAAACAGAAGCAAGCCCAACAACTGAACATTTTTGAAAATTTAGATGATGAGCCATTTAATCCAGATTATGTTGAAGTTGAGCGTGTTCTTGATGTTGCTGAGCATACCGAACCATCAACAAATGAAACTATTAAACACTACCTTGTCAAGTGGAAAGTTTGCAATACGAAGACAGCACTTGGGAGTTGGAAGAAGATGTTGATCCTAATAAAAATAGAACAATTTGAAGCATTTCGAAAGTGCCGCCTAAAGATAAATGGAAACCTAAGAGAAAACCACCGGCTGATGCTTGGGTTCAACTGGACGAATCTCCTGTATATAAATCTGGAAATACTTTACGACCTTATCAACTTGAAGGTCTCAATTGGTTGACCTTTTCGTGGTATAACGGTAGAAATTGCATATTGGCTGATGAAATGGGTTTGGGAAAAACTATTCAAAGTTTGACCTTTATACATTCAGTGTGGAAATATGGTATCAGAGGACCATTTTTGGTCATTGCTCCACTTTCTACCATTCCTAATTGGCAACGGGAATTAGAAGGTTGGACGGATATGAATGTTATTGTGTATCACGGATCGCAAGCCAGCAAAAATATGATCCAAGAATATGAAATGTTTTATAAGAATGAAAGAGGCAATTTTATAAAAGATCTTACTAAGTTCAATGTCTTGATAACAACTTTTGAGATCATTGTGTCGGATTTCGCGGATCTTAAAGGTTTCAATTGGAGATTATGTGTTATAGATGAAGCTCATAGATTGAAAAATAGAAACTGCAAATTGTTGGAGGGCTTACGTCAACTTCACATGGAGCATCGTGTTTTGTTAAGTGGTACTCCACTGCAAAACAATGTAAATGAATTGTTTTCTCTTTTAAATTTCTTAGAACCTCAACAATTTGCAAGCAATGAAGAATTTTTACGGGAATTCGGCGCATTGAAAACGGAGCAAGAGGTTCAGAAATTACAAGCTTTATTGAAACCTATGATGCTCAGAAGATTAAAAGATGATGTGGAGAAGTCTTTGGCGCCTAAAGAAGAGACTGTCGTAGAAGTTGAATTAACAAACATACAAAAGAAGTACTACCGAGGTATTTTTAGAACGGAACTTTTCGTTCTTATCAAAGGGTACAACGTATTCAAATATACCAAATCTTATGAATACTATGATGGAACTTCGGAAATGTTGTATACATCCTTACTTGTTAAACGGAGCAGAAGATCAAATCCAATTGATTACAGAAATTCATACGGTGAAGACCCGGACGCTTATTATAAGGCATTAATACATTCGTCTGGTAAAATGGTGTTGATTGATAAGTTGCTGCCGAAGTTAAAAGCGAATGGTCATCGCGTTTTGATTTTCAGTCAAATGGTTCGCTGTTTAGATATATTAGAAGATTATTTAGTTTACAAAAAATATCCATTCGAAAGAATCGATGGCAGAATTCGCGGTAATTTGCGTCAAGCCGCCATCGATAGATATTCTAAACCAGATTCAGACAGATTCGTATTTTTATTATGTACAAAAGCCGGCGGTTTAGGTATTAATTTAACTGCTGCTGATACTGTTATAATTTACGACAGTGACTGGAATCCACAAAACGATCTGCAAGCACAAGCCAGATGTCACAGAATCGGTCAACAAAAAATGGTTAAAATTTATAGGCTTTTGTGCAGGAATACATATGAAAGAGAAATGTTTGATAAGGCTTCTATGAAGTTGGGTCTTGATAAAGCTATATTGCAAAGTATGAATACCTCACAAGGCGGCAAAGACAGTGGCAATAGGCAGCTATCGAAGAAAGAAATTGAAGATTTACTTAAGAAAGGTGCTTATGGGGCAATTATGGATGAGGATAACGCCGGTGATAAATTTTGTGAGGAGGATATTGATATGATACTTGCGAGGCGCACGCAAGTAATCACGATGGAATCGGAGAAAGGATCTACATTCTCAAAAGCTAGTTTTGCTGCTTCTGGAAATCGGTCAGATATTAATATAGATGATCCAGATTTTTGGAAAAAGTGGGCAAAGAAAGCTGAAATCGACACAACTGAAAAAGACGAGAAAAAAGAGTTGGTAATTTCGGAACCCAGGCGAAGAACTCAAATAAAACGATACGGACATGATGATGGGGTAGTTGATATGTCAGATATGGATTCTTCTGACAATAGCGATGTTGAAGCAGGAGGTCAGTATTATAACTCTCTCGAAATTAACAGAATTGAAATAGTTTTTAATAAATAATTTGGTACTTTTTAGGTTTAACAGGTCGAGCAAAACGGCGTAAGGAGAAGTTAGCCCGTAAACAAAGAGAAGATGAAGATTATCTTTCAAGACATGGTTTAGGAATCGGCGAAGTCGGTGTTGCCAGTGAAACCATCGTTTACGGAAGTTGGGCAAGATCGGAATGCTTCAAAATTGAACGAGGTCTTCTCACATTCGGGTAAGTGAAATATATTTGCTCAAACAATTTTCAAGTTTATTACAAAAATCAATCACTACCATAAGTCTTATATTAATTTTTATGTCATACTTTTCTTATACTGTTTTGAACAAGAATTTAATGCAATTTGTTGTACACTTCGTTTCCTCGTCCATGTCTTGATTTGATCTTCTAATTTGTACAATTCAGCCTTCTTTTTAACATACTCCATAACACCAGGAGCGCTATATTCCCGTGTGATTTCCTTAAGTTTCTCTAATTCCTCGCTAGCTAAAATAGCTTCGTTTTCAGCTTGAACTTCTTCCTTTTCCATATCTTCGATTAGTTTTTTTGTTTCCAAAATGCCAGCATCTAGTTCTTTTAAATTTTTCATGGCTTCTATTAAATTTTTCTTCTGTATACTCAATGTCAAACTTGCAATACCAGTTACATGTTTTAAACCTAATAAATGATTGTTCTTTTCTTCTATTGTAATTGCATGGTCTTTATTTTCGATTGTTAATTGCTCAAAATCTATCGGTCTCAAAGATTCGCCTAATTCTTCTTTCAAAGCAAACTGATGATACAAACGCGTGTATTGTGAACGCATAGTACCTAAAAAATTTTATAAAGTATATATAAATAGCTTTACATTTTATATTATTATTATCAGTAACTTCTCGAAGAAATTCATGTTTTCATAAAAAAATCCGATTCACTAATTATATGTTTTCTCGACGTTTCAAGCCATTTTAAATCGAATCAGACCAAATTTGGAAAAAGTGTGTGTGTGTGTGTGAACAGATTTTTTGCAGTAAATCTCAGAAATTAAAAGCCATTTGATGTATCTCAATGAGGACTATCGTTTGTCAGTTTTGTGCGACGATATGCCGAGTCGTTTCTTTGTAATTTGAAAAAAAGTGGTAAACTTTTCGTCCACATTTAAGCTCATACTACCGAATTGATTGTAAAAAATCAAAAACTGTTCGCAAGATATTAGTTGGAAATGATACTGATTAGTTTTAGGTGAAAATGTACCGAGCAGTTTATTTGTAATTAACTATTGAAAAAAAAATTAAGCCAATTTTTATGGATTTTTTTGGCGATATATATCATGGTCTTACAGAACTTACTGAAATATTACGGCCTTACGACAAGTAGCTTAATTTTAAAAAAATATCAAAGTTTGAAAAATGAGTAGTTTTTTTTTGACGTTTGTTAAAATTAAAATTAGACGGTTTACTTAGTATAACGATACAGTACTTTGTCTTGGTTCAATTGTAAAAATTATTGATTTCTGAACATTTGCTTTTAGAAAATACTCCGAGTTAACGTGTTCGTTCGTTTTCAATGATGTGTAATAAATCCACTCGTAATACTTTTAATCACTCATAAATTAATTTATTTTTTATTGATTGAGTCGATTCTTTACACATATCGAGAAGTTCATGTAACTTGCTTTAAGGCAGAATACCAATACCAACTAGTTATTATTATTATTATATACCTGTCCTCAATCTCAATTTATCTATAGCGGATGCGACATTTTTCAACCAATCTTCCATATAATGAATAAATTTTTCTGCTGGTATTCTTTGCGTTATAGGGTCAACTCCTTCAATGACGACAGTTTTTTCAAATTGTTCCCTGGCTTCTCTTGTTTCAACTGTTCTAATATCAATTTCTTCTGTTTGAGCTTTTAAAGTGGCTGCTTTCATTTCTGATTTCGCCATAAACTCCGCTTTCAATGTCTAAATAAAAGAAACATGAAATTGTGAAAAAATCTTATTAAAAAAATCGTGCAATCATTAAATAAATATGATTTAATTTTTTGGCAATTTTAACACAATCTCTTATCAATTACCTTTAATTCCTCCATTTCTTTATCAATGATTTCTGTTTTATGTGCAACATTTATTCTTGGTCCCTTCTCCAACATAGATATTGATAATGTTAAGCTTATCTTATTTATGGAGGAGGATTCTGATTTTTTCATTGATCCAGTATTTTTAATATCTGCCGATACTTCAGATGCATCGGAGATTGATCCTTTTGATTGTTTTCCCAATAATTGATTTTCAATACCTAAGCCTGGATCGTCTTCGAGTTCTTTTTTAATTGCTTGGCTATCTGTAAATGTAATAATAAAATAATAAAACTAACAAAA